TCCAAATTATACGTATTTAAGTAATAAAATAATACAGTCATTGTTGTTTAATTTCCGACGTCTTAACGTCTTAATTAACAACTTTTTATCAATAAATGTGATAACGTTAGATCGATTGTTATTGATCATGTTTTTTCCACGTTACTGATATTTTCCCAAGATAAACAATACATTACTTGACTCACACTTAAGTAGTCTTTTAATATGCTATATAATTTGCACACCTTGGAACTTCTTCATGTTGACTAGAAAACATTCTAAACTTAATATCCTTCTTTATTTAGAATGTATCACATCGGTGATAAAATATAAATTACAGTATTTCATTTATTTATTTGTACATTACAGTGACGGCGATTTATTACATTTATAGTATTCAGTAGAATGCATGATTATTTTTCTCCAATTTTATATATCTGAAAAATAATTAAAAGTTGAAAGTAACGGGACGAGAATTCAGATGAATTAATCAATTTTATCTTCCCTCCAGGTATCACATGGTTCGAGCATTTAAATTACTCTTATAACAACGCGCGATGCGTTAGAAATTCAATTTTGATTATTATAAGAACTTTGCGTAAAAATTTCCTTATTCATTTACGTGTTCACATGTAAAATATAAAGCAATAGCTAATCATGTTAAAAAAGAGATTAAAATAATTCACACTAATTACTTCATAAATTGTTATATCAAACGTCATTGTATTAAAAAGATATTACAATGTTTATATATATATTATAGCAGCACACTCAGAGAGAGACAGTCAATTTTTATGAGCCATACTGTGCTCATTATTCAGTTTATACTATTAAATTTATTTGAGGTACTGCATGTATATTCATCTTTTAATGAAATTATTATTTATTATTATTAACTTACCGTTGGTGCAATGCCGTCGTTATAGCCTAAATTATCTATTCCTGTCATGTTGCAATCTGTAAAATAATTATAAAAGTTATTAATATATAAATTGAAATAAATTGATATAAATTATTGTATCATTTATTATATGATTTATTATAGTTATTTATGATATTATATTATTTATTCATTGTATTATTAATAAAACAGTTATATATTAAGTAGTAACAATTTACTAAATAGTATATATTATACCATTCATTTCTGAAAATATTCATAGCTGATACAGTGAAATAGCAGTGCTCTGTAAGATATTTTTTTTAATTAAAATAATGTATCATTATAACAAGAAAAATCGATTTAAAAAATGATCAAAAATTTATCACTAATGTACAAAAAAACAAACGTCTTTGTACCTTATTCAAACATTAAACGAGTAGATGTTTTTGAATGTTCCTGTAGTATCTTAGTAAGACGATCATTGATAGATGCATATAATGCGTGATAATGTTCACAACAATCGAAGTAACAGGATAATGGACATCATGTTAAATTATTATGCACCCTGCGCGGAATGTGTCCAGACTTAATCTTTTTATATGAATCGAATTTAAGGTTCGTTTGTAGTAGGTCATCTTGTGGGAAAACATTCAATTCTATTAAATATGTTTTCTCAAAAGTTTAACAGTATGACGACTGCACTCGCAAATGAACCAGTCTTATGTTCACAAACAAGAACTTATGAATATGACCGGTATCTTTGTAGTTGATTTTATTTTTCGGACCATTTTAAGTATGGTCTTAAGATGTCATAAAACCATCACAGAGCCACATTAGCATTTTAAATGATTACTTAAGATGATAACATCACTTAAAATAATTTCTTAAAATAAGAACGGCTATTACATCAGCTGTTTTTCTGCATTTAGTCGGATTGATAAAAATAATCACTTTTTTAGTTTTGAACATACAGTATACTTTCTGGTGACCGTACTGATCATTTAAAATATAAAGAAACAAAGGATAAAAGTTCAAAAATACATGGTCAAGTATTATAGAATAAATATAAACATTCAATCAAAATTATCTTTAAGTGTTTAATATGATTCTTCTAATCTTTCCATTTTTTTCATACGATTTATCGTATTGTGCTACAATGATTACAATCTTTGCAATCAATTTATTTGTTTCAATCATTTTTTGTTCTTTTTAATTTTTATAAACAAAACGTTTTTACTGACTCGTTTAAATGTGATTTCTTTCGTTCTCTATAATCTTCATTCAACAAAATCCATGTATTGCTTTCATATCAAACGAATACAGTTTAGTCTGCAAAATGAAAATTTTTCCACGTCCTCGAAAGATATAAAAATGTTCTATTTATACCATTTCGCAATAAATTATGGATTATTCATAAATGCCAAACTTAATGAATCACAAATCGATTCAATAAAATCAACGAAGGCAGTATGTCGTTACATTTTTCTCGAATTGAAAAGACTGGCAAAAAATGCTATAACGTATTTCTTCTAAATTTATATGATCGAAACTCACGTAGGAGTCGTACTTTATCGTGAATATGTAATAACATTTGTTTCTACCGTAATGGACGTACCGATAGTATAAAAGTTTTTATCATTGTGGATTGTTCAATCGAACAGTCCTTCTGTTTCTTCTTTTTGATTCTCCTAAAATAATATATACACGGGACAAAATATGGGAAAATAACGCGAGAAAAAACAAAGAAGAAAAGTCAGAATTACTGTAAATCGCCATACCGCGGTGATTTTTCGACTCCAGCGACACTAATTATATGAGTCTCGATGGATACTGATGTGCTTCCGTTAATTAATTTGCGTCTGCTGTAGTCTTTCGCATCGCTATATAATTAATTAACGTAACGTTCGTAGGCTTACAAACAAAACGAAGACGAGAAGTAATTATAGCCGCATTCTATTAAACGGTAAATGCGTTTCCTTCTCTTCTTCTGACATTTGACGTGGCGCGCTCAAAAATTATATATGTGTACAAATTTTTATTGTAATCACACAATATGTTGTATATTAATTTTAATAATTTTTTTTTAATAATACATTAACAATTAATGATTTATTTACAATACCGTAATTTTATACACGATGTATTTACAATTAATAACATTTACAATTATAATATGTTTGCTAGCTATTATATAATCTTGTACTACTTACCGTATTAAGAAATATCTAGTCGTGGATTTTGAATTCGATACACTGAAGATAAAGTTTTGTAATCCGTATCGATACGATACAACACATGATTATATAATTCCGTTATGGCAGAATTAACATTCATTACAGCATATTTCTGTCTTTAAAAGGCAAAAAACTCGCGATAACGCATCGCATTTTACCTCGCGTGTACTGATGCAAACGAGTCCACGAGTTCAAGACGACTACTTTGGACGCTTACTAACTAACTGAACTTGATGTAGCCTCAAGTCAGTGACTGGCCTCTGAGAGTGGGGCTTATGTCGTACACGTAGCTACACGCTGGAGTATAACATCAGACTCTTTTAATATTTTCAACATTATACGTATCTTTCATAACACGTGGATTTAGGTTTATGTTTATTATATAAGTATGTCACATAATTATAAATAATTCTTTATAAATAATTCTTTGTAAATATATATAAAGTATTAACTCTTTATATCTATATTATAACATATTTTTATTTGAACAATTTGTACACTTATTTAAATTTCATACATAAGCATAAGCAATTATTATTTTATTACCTCTAATAAATTTTCAAATTTCTGTCTCAACGAATCAATGAATTATATATTGTTTTTTTACTTTATCTATTGTATATGTCATTGATATGCTATCCCAAGCTGACATCATTTATCACCATTCTTTTGTCATTTTTTGTTAAAATGATGTTTAATATCAAACAATATGCTATCTGAAATATTATCTATCTAGACTACATACGTTTAGAACAGATAAACGTTTTATCATTAACATTGACATACAATTGTGTGTATAAAGTTACTTGCAATTTACCTTGAAGTGTCTACATATATATGTAATATTTATAATTTGCAAATAGTTATTATTAAATAAGTATTTAAAATAATTATCAGTAATTTTTTTAAATGTTCTTAATTCAAAGTTTAATTGGATGATTTTTATGAGGCAATTGAAATCATCCAATTGCCTCATAAATAAATTTAGTCATGTCAAGTATTATTTAATAAATGCCCAGTAAACAAGAAACATCTCGAAACACTTCAGTAACATTGCATCAACGTTGCAACGTTACTGAAACGTTTCAAAACGTTACTAAAATGTTTCTTGCTTAGTGGGTGAATATTAGAATATTTCAAGAAATGCATTAATAACACAGGCCTGCAAAATTAGAGGTGTTAAAAATTGGTTGAGATTTAACAATGTCTTCTTACGTAATTTTTGACGCTGAATCCGAATCCGGATTCAGCGCAAAAAATTACGTAAGATGACATTGTTAAATCCCAATCAACATAACCATGCAGGCCTGTAATTTGATACAAGTGTGTTTTTATAATGATTATAAAGTAAATTTGTTTTTGATAAAAAAATACTTATTTTAAACAGAAAAAAATATGAATAGTATATTTTATGTTAAAAGTAAATTGAATCGATTATTATGCAAGTAACAAATGGAACACTAACATTTTTGCTAAAAGTATAAATTTCATTCTCTGTATCTATAAATGATATATTTTACTATAATAATAAATTTATTCTTACTTTGCCATCAAAATAGTAATCGTTTTACAGCAAAATTTTGTTATAAATAAATTGTTTTAATTTATATTTTTAAGAATTCTCTCTGATTTTTTTATTTTACTAGAACAATAAGTTTTATTTATTTCTGTATCAATAATTAATTATAATTAGCGAAATTTACTTTTGCATAAATATTCTATAACATTGCAGCAATGGTTTTGCTGTAAAATTCTTTTTTTTTTTTATTATAGGAGCTTTCCAGCAAGAGACACAGTGAATCATTACATTCTTGTTGTTCGCCAATGTTAAACAAAGATGAAATGATTACTGTGTTACACAGTATCGCTTGTTGGGGGGAAAGTTCCTATTATTACTCTTCCTGTACCGCATTATTGAAATGTCAACGTCGCTGTCCAGTAGAACGCGGAAGCACTTGATATCATCGCTCGTCTGTTCATCGAAAAACGATAGATTATACGCGCACCGTTATTTAGATAACATAAAAATATACAATGTAAAAGATAAACAGAGCGATGAGTAAAAGCTAGGCGAACACCTGAAACCAATCGAGTCACCTCCAAATCGTGCAAGTATTATCTTTGCTGGCGGTAATTATGCTATCTCCGGTATACGAAAATGCGCAAGCAAAAACGTCATCGGTATGCCCTTTCAATTGCTGAAAGCAGGAGCCATCGTCCGCGGACCATAGCCTGGTCGTTCTGTCCAAGGAAGCAGTTAGAAGTTGATGACCATTCGGACTAAAGCAAACTGGAAATACAGTTAGGATTTTAATATAAATGATATATATTAGGATTTTAATATAATTAATATAGATATGGAAAAAAATGGAAAGCAAAGCCTCCATTTGCGATAAGAAATTTGCCTTTCGATACTTCTTCCCGATGGCCTTTCATAAGAGCCAACTGTTGGAAATTGCTGCTTATATCCCAAACTCGTGCGGTAGTATCGCTACTGACTGTTGCCAGTCTTTTGCCATTGTTGTCGAAAGCGAGATCCAGAACTTCGTCGTCGTGTCCCAACAAAGTAGCCAAGCAAGAATTCATTCTTGCGTCCCATACTTTTGCGGTTTTATCCATCGAGGACGACGCAATCAACGAACAATCGAAATTATAGAGACAGTTGGACAATTCCTCGCGATGACCGATTAACACACTTGTTCGCCTGAGATTTTCAGTTAAAAATATATTTATCAAAATTCCATTTTAAATTGTTTCAAGAAAATTCAATCTTACGTATGAAACTTATATTACGACGCTAAGAGAAAAAAAAGTAAAAGATTGATTAAACAAAGGTATCAAGCAATTATTCCATATTCAAGTTATTTTATATAATGAATTATTATAATAAGTCGTGTATATACTTAAGAAATAAGAAAATGAAAAAAGATAAGAAGATCGAAACCCACGCAAATGTTCTTGTATCCCAGATGTTCACGGTACCGTCGAAGGAACCCGATATGATCTGATTTCCATCGTCGTTGTAATGCAGCGCAATAACTTCTGCCGTGTGTCCCCGTAACGTACCCAATTCCTGACCTGCCGAATCCGAATCATGTCTCACATAAAAAAGGTTACGACGTATGGGCGCTTTATTCGCGAGAAAAATCTATCTCGAGACGGTAATTCTTAGTATTTTTGAATTTAAAAATTAATTATGATTAAATAACAAAACCAGGAATTCTAAACTAATTTGTCTCCTTAAAAATGACTAATGTGTGTGTTTAGAAAGTATTTATCCGTTGCACTTAACGTATTACTATAAAGTTATTTCCAATATTAATCAAAATCGCGATAAATGTTTCATTAATATTCTAAATTATCTAAATTACTATTTAGAGAGACAATTTATTGTGAGAGCTTGATACTTAGTGACTTTATTTAAGCTCGTTTAATTAGAACGTCGGGCAGGTGCTACGATAACGTAAAGCCAACAATAATTGGAACAGTGATAAGAATACTATGCAAGAATACGTTGATTGCTTTCGCATATTATTTGCACGCTGTGTTCAAACATCGTAAAGTGGATTCGACAGTAGTAGGTATGTTGCGTCCGATCGATCGCGAGCTGGCCGAATCGAAACGCGCGTTTATTATGTGAGATAACATTGCAATATTTTCAATACCGGTTTCTATATGGAATATTTTTGACGTCGCGTCGATGGAACCGGTCGCGAGCTTGCATTGCGTCGGTGAGAATTTAGCCACCACTACTTCCGCATCGTGACCCCACATGGTTGCGAGGCAGTGACCCGTCCGCGAGCACCAGACCTTCGCCGTTTTGTCGAAGGATCCGGTCACAATTTTGTCTCTGAAACGGTAAAAATACGTAGGTCTAGAGATTCTATAACAGAGTCCGACCATGAGATGACAAACTTTTGATTAGTCCGTCGTTTTCGTCAACTTCGGTAAGTTAGAATGAGTAAGATAGTATAAGTTATAATGAGATAGCTTATATAAAAAAAGCCGGTATATATACTCTCTAAAATCTTTGGAGTGGAATGTAACTCTAAAGAGTGAAATCTCATTTCTACAAATTGACTATTGACTTTTTATCAATACTGGCTCAATAATAATTGTCACTTTTTGTCACTCTTTAGAATTAGATTCCACTGCAAAGATTTTAGAAAGTATCCTTGTTTACTCTTATTTTAACAAAATTGCTTGTGGCCAGAATCTGGCATAGTTTCTAGGTAGGTCTAACTGCCGCTATTGCGTCGTACATACATATGTGAAGAATAACGCGCGTTATACATTATAGAGGAGATCTCGGCCGCTATAAGTCGTACAAGTTCTCGCCATGTCTTACTTTCAATTCCGGGTCGATATAATCGCGATTATACTTTGATTATTGTGACTAACTCACGAAGTTGGATTGTTGAACGAGACGGCGTAGACCACGTTCTTATGGCCTTCGAGAGTAAAAAGCTCCGCTCCACTGTCAATGTCCCAAACTTTACAAGTTCGGTCATAGCTGCCCGTCAAGCATCTGTCGATCGAACGAATGACGTGTCGGTTATATACTATGATTCGATGAATTATTCACTGCGATTAATTTTTTCTTCGATTTCTATTCTTACTATTTCAGTAGCTTCCCTTTCAATAGCTTTTTTTTTAATGTGCTATATTATTATTATGGGATTTAATAGCACAAAACACTACTTACCTACTTCGAAACTTTGTAAATTTTACAAATCTTAATAATAATAATTAAGCGACAATTTTAATGTAGAGTACCTTTTACCTAATTTATCGAGGGCTATATTAGTGACTGGTAAAAGATGCGTATGTAAGGTTTTGTATTTGTAATAGCGCTTGGTATCCGTATCGCAAACTTTAGCCTGTAGCTTCTGCAAAGTTTCGACTAACTGGTCCATTACACTTTCGGTTATTATGGGTTCGGCCGCTTTTATGCTTTCCGCTAATGCTCTTACGTCCGTTCTGTAAATTATTTAACTATTACTAGCTTTATTTTCCACGACATATAGCTTCATAGTCAAAGTAAAATAAAAGCAAATGTAAAATTAAGCAGCTACGTTGTTACGGCGGCAAATAAAAAAGCTGATCTAATTAATTACTCGGCTGACAAGTCCAATAAATCGATCATTTTTGTCTTGATATCACCGCCCTGCGTGTACTCCAGAGCGAGACCTGAAAAGTTTAAGGTTTGAATTTTAAAATTCAAATATATCATATAAATATTTTCTCAAGTGTATTAAATATTAATTTAAGGGAACAAGAGCGTGTTAGACAGCATTATTAATGTACGTCTATTTACCTGGTGGGAAATAACGAAGCAAGAATTTCAGCAGCCTCATGTGGACATTCCAATTAGGATGCGTCCAGTGTTCCAGACAGGGTTGCGATTCACTAGTATTTGACACGAGGGAGGCACGGATTTAATTATAAAATGTGGATCACGCGTCAGGGATTGCGTATCACGAAGGTGCGTTTTCTCCGCGCTGGCCAGACCAGCCGGAGCTGTCAAAACCGCGTTTTGTTCGTTCGTTCGTTCGTGCGTGCGTGCGTACGTGCATGCGTGCGTGCGTGCGTGCGTGCGTGCATGCGTGCGTGCGTGCATGCACATCAGTCAGACGCGTCTTGTGCAAACGATTAATGCGTTGCCTAGAGCTGAAGATTTGGTTGCTTAGGTTCGTTTGATCAATTTCAACTAAATTGATAGTAAAATTCAATATTTAATATTTAATTATTTATATATAACAAATACAATATACATATAAATGAGACACATTCATATAATTTATTTTATGTAATATCTATTGTTTTTCAAAAGGAGAAAATAATAAAAGTATAATTCGATCCTTTATTGTTTCATATAATTGCATTATGTATAGAAATACATAACGTTCTTTATTAAACGTTGTCTTAAATTTTTTTTATTTAACATCTATTTTATTTATTTATATAACAAAGATTCTCAGTGTCTGAGAATAATATCACATAGCCAGAGGATTCTAATTTTCGATATTTTAATAAAAGTATTAAATTATTTTTCTCTTTATTGTTTATCACATTGGAAAAGTATTGTTTGTGAATCTAAATTATAACTACAGTTTTGCGCAAATTAAAATAAATGCAATTATAATTTAATCTTCTAACGTTGCCGATAAGTTGCTTTAAGATTCTGCATTATCAACGTTTTATCGATGTAGCACGGAACATAACCAAAAAATCATGAATATGATGTGTTACCCACTGAAAAGTTCATAGCATGGTTACGTAGTTCAATGCCTACATTTTGTGAACATAGAGGCGTGTTGCCCAGCAACGTCATAAAAAACAGCTGTCAAGCTGATTTCACTGTTGTGACTGTTTTTTACTATTTTCGGAGCATTTTCTGTCAGAGCAATTGTTTTTTGTTGTTCCGTTATAAACCTTTCATCTATGATATTGTTGAGATATTCTGATATGATCTAATTATATTTGTGCAAAACAAATTAAATTATATTTCCAATTGGCTTGATATTTTTCTGAATCTAGTAGTCTGAATTTATAAATCGTTTAATTTCCATGATACACACTTTTGAAGTATTTCACATATTATTGATAATTTAATACATTACGTGAGGATATGTAAATTTCGAGATGTCAGATCATGGTGATAGATATGTATTTGAAGCTGAGTGGTATGACAAAGTCGCTTGTATGCTGAAGAAATTTTATCTGTATTATTATCTATCTGATAATACTGTCGAATTGGTATGTGCAAGTTAGTGCAAATTAATATACATACAAGATATTTTGCTTAACTTAAACACGTTAAATATCTTTGCTAGACACAACAGAAAAAAATATGAAGTTTTAAAGATAAATCAAATTATGTAAAGTATATAATTTTCTTGTATTCTACAAATTGCATAATTGTTATTAATAATTATATTTTTTATAACATTTGATTCATTTTATTATTCTGCAAATAAAAGTATTAAAGTAACATAATTTAGAAATTAATATTTTTCAAAATATTATATATTTTATGTCAAAATATGCCACAAAATATACAAAATGTTTTAATAAAATATTGATTTTTTTAAATAATCTTAATATACATTTTGATATGCAAAATGACTAGAATTGTATTACGTAAGAAAAATCATATGATTTTATTTTAAAGAATTGAGTTACTTTTAAAATGTTCTAATAAAGTTGTCATTATATTGTGTATATTGTATTTTAGTTTGATTTAAAAACAAGGAAGACATTCCTAAGAAGGACAACCTGTGAAGGCATTAAGGCTAAAGATTTTTATGTGGGTTCTGTAATAACAATATTTTCAAGATGCATCAAAATTACGGATTACGCAGATGCCTGTACCAAAACCAAATTAGAAACGCAAATGCAAAAGTAATAAAACGATTTCTATTTTATATATGATTTTTCTGATATTAAAAAATCTTACTTAATTGATATAATTTTATTTTTCTAGAGTTTTTGTACTTTTGAAACCAGATGTTATTGACAAAATGGGTGAAATATTAAAAATGATTATAAATTATGATTTTCATATTACGAACCTAAAAATGATAAGATTAACTGTGGATGATATTGCAGAAAGTTGTCTTATAAAAAAAGACGTAGTCGATAAGACGTAAGTCAAATTTTGAATTAATGTTGTCCTAAAAATAAACTATTTATGATTTCTTTAGTAAATTTTGGATACTGTAGCTGTGAAAGTTTATTTTTAGGTCTGTTATAAATTATCTTATTTCTGGCCCTGTCGTTGCTTTAGAATTATTAGGAGGAAATGGTATAACAAGATGGCAAGAACTAGCTGGCCCAGAAGATAGTAATCACGCTCGTTTAACGGCAGCATCTTCATTAAGAGCTTGTTATGGAAAAGACGAGATATATAATGCTGTATATGGATCCAAAGATATCGAAACAGTAACGCAGGTACAAAGTTTTAGATACAATAATTAAATTTACAATAAGAACATATTTTAATGTAACATCTAATTATTTTTAGGAATTACAATATTTCTTTCCTAACTCAAAAAATAAAAATAAAGGCCCTAAGAACACTGCAACTCTACAAAACTGCACCTGTTGCATCATCAAGCCACATGTTGTACAGGAAAAACTTGTTGGTAAATTGAGTACTTTATTAATATTGCATATAATGTAATATATATTGTAATATATTGTAATATTAATGTTTATATATTTCTATAAAATAACAGCTAATAGAATCTCTGTCATACAACTTTAAAACTTCTATCTAAATCTGATATGACATATTTTTAATCTTATATTTATAATATAGGAGCAATTATCGATGATATTCAAAAAGCAGGCTACATGATCACCACTGCACAACAATTTTATGTCAATCCAATTAATTCTGAGGAGTTTTTAGAAATATATAAAGGTGTTCTTCCTGAGTATACTGTATGTTTTCATCTATTATGTATATTTTTTTTTACAAATATTATTTCTGAAAATGAATATATTTTTATGAACACTCTACAGGCAATGGTAGCAGAATTACAATCTGGTCCATGCATTGTTCTGGAAGTGAGCTGTAAAGACGAAAGCCCTAACATAGTTGCTGATTTCAGGAATTTATGCGGTCCAATGGATCCGGTAAGTATAAATTACTTTAATTGCTTTATCCTGCGTTATGACATACTTATTTGATACAGAACATTGCGCGACAAATCAGACCAAATACGCTTAGAGCCAAGTATGGGAAAACGAAAATACAAAACGCTATACATTGTTCCGACTTGCCAGAAGACGGAATATTAGAGGTAAAAACAACTTTAATCACATTTGCTTAAAACTTTAGTCACATTTGTCATTTGTTTCTCTTGTAATTTACGTATGTTGGATCTTTCCAGGTGGAATATTTCTTCAAGATACTCGACGGAATCTGAACGATCAAATATATTGTATATAATATAAAAATTGTTAGATTGGACAATTATTAAATTTAATTGATTTGAAAAACTTAAAGTATTTGTATATATTGATAAAATAAATTGATTTTTTAATGAAAATCAACTCAAATCTATATTCTCATATTTATATGAAAATTGTACAATCGCTTAAGGTTGTACAATTGTAATAACTTTACGTAAAAATTGTCGTTTATGATGAATTATCGTCGTGAATTATATTTTTAGTTATTGAAACAAAGGACATTGTTTTAAATCAGAAAGTTTGTTTAAGTCATCAATCGTTAAACGCATTAAATTTAAGTAATGATTATTTCAGTAGCTTCATATTTATCCGAGAATTTTTTATTTCTTCGTACGTTAAATAGCATTAAATAGTATATATAAATATTTCTATAGTATATAAATATATGTATATATCTCATATAAATATAATATAGTCAAAAGTACAATAGAAAATTATTTTAGATTGTGATATATGTATGCTCTTATGCAAATATTCATGAATCTTAATACGCGCCGTTGAGAATTTCCATTGAGTAAGGGCTTCCGGAGAAAGGGGGGCGTCTGAAGTGGCTCGATGCCAGAGACCTGAAGCTAGTTATGTCCTACTTTGGCAAAGTTACTGCAGAGTGCAGATATCAAGGATATTGATATTTACGTAATCACGCGCGTTCCTCTCACATAACGATTAATATTTTTCTAACCTTATGATACTGAAGAGTGGGAATAGGAGAAAAAGACATTTTCAGTCATTTAGTTTTCAATAAAGTGATCTTTAAAGTAATACTATAAATAAACTATAAATAATCTTTATAGTTGCAATCCCCCTGATTTTTATTATTACTGTCATTTCTTCACAGCAAATCAATTGTTAGAATTTCACTTTATAATATTGTGACAAATTGGCATCATACGTCCGCATTAAGCTCATGTATATTCAAAATCATTCACAACACTTGATATCGCGTATATAATGTATCTATCGCACATCATACAATGGAACAATTATCCGCAGATTGCAACGGTGTACATTGTTTGGGCAATCAAAATTGTAATTATTCCTTTAATACTAGTACATTACATTTACCAGCAATTCCGCGCTGACGGACACTGCCACACTGCTTATAACCATCTTAAAGAACTACAGAGGATCTACCGTAGCTTAGTAACGGCACAATGATGCGTGTCAAGGATTTAATTTGTAATCCGCCGGCGATGTAAAACTGCGAAGATGAATCCGTTCTCATCAGATTAAATTAGATGGAGGGGAGAAGAAAAGAAGAGTCAGATTTTCCCGCGATACTGTCTAATTCAGTCTATAAAGGATTGCGGACTGAAAAACATTGTGCGATATAATGTAATGCTAAATGGTGCAATTACAGCAGAATGAAAAAAATTACTTCAAAAAATTGTATGATACAAAGTAGATAGAATATCTATCAACATTAACTTCGAATATTTAGAATTTATAGATTGTGCACAAGGAAGACAATAATGCGTATACTCACAAATAATAATAATAATAATATGATAAGTAAATTATATAAATCCATCAGCTATAAATATATCAGTTACGTGATTTTTTATTAACAGATCTTAAAATTAAAC